AAAACCTCCACCTCCTGGGTTCAAGTGATTCTCCTGCCTCAGCCTCCCAAGTAGCTGGGCTTGTAGGCGTGCGCCACCACGACGGGCTAATTTTTGTATTTTTGGTAGATACGGGGTTTCACCATGTTGGCCAGGATGGTCTTTATCTCTTGATCTTGCGATTTGCCCACCTCAGCCTCCTAAAGTGCTGGGATTACACGTGTGAGCCACCACACCTGGCCAACCATGTTTTGTATATGGTGGCACTTACATGTATGGCTGTAATAGGAATCTGGTTATTCTACTCCAGGAAATTAATCTACTTACTGTTCTCCATGCACATCACTCCTACGCCTGAAAACTCTCTTCATCCTTCACCGAAGTACTCCCCACCTCTATCACGTTGGCCCAGGACTCACCTGCCCTTTCCTTTCTTCTCTCTTTCCCTTCCTTTCCTTGGAAATGTCCCAGATAAACGCCATTGACTTTTTTTTTGGTCTACATATTCACTATCCTAACCTATTACACATGGAGAATCCTATTCATTCTACTAGTGAAATTCTGCTTTAATAAATTCTACTGGCCAATGATAATTCTTTAGTGGTCCGGAAGTTTCATTTTTTTAAGGTTTTACTGTGATGGGATATTGCCTGTAAATGAAGTTGTGCATGTTGGCAGGCTGCTCTAAGAAAGTATTATTTCACTCAGGCAATGGCCAGTCTACCCTTGGCAGTGACTTACCTGTAATTCTTTTTCTTCCTGCCTCAGCATATTCCTGAGGATCTGGGTGGCATGTTTTTGAACTTCGGGATCCTAGAGATGGAAAATATGGTAGTATAAGAGTTAGGGATGAACTCAATAGCTTAACTCTCTTCTATCTGCTGATTCTTGGGCAAGGAAAGCTATCAGAGTAGAGCCTGAATCATAAGTATGTTTTATTCAGTGCCTTGCTGGAATGCAGTAAACACAGATCTTATTTTGAGTTTATTCCTGAACTTCTAAAAACCTTGGCTGTAATCACCTTTGGCATCAAGTTGCTCCCTAAAGTCTCCCAAGACTTGTGGGTTTAGTCTTCATTCCAACTGAAAAATCCTGTTCCCTATACCTGTCTGCATCTTGTCCTCTTTTAACTCTTCACACAGGTGCTCCTTCCTTGCTTCTAGAGCTCCCTTTCTACTTGTTTGTTTTTTCTTTGAGATGGGGTCTCCCTCTGTCACCCAGGCTAGAGTGCAGTGGCACAATCACGGCTCACTGCAACCTCTGCCTTCTGGCTCAAACAATCCTCCTACCTCAGCCTCCTGAGTACCTGGGACCACAGGTGCGTGCCACCATGCCTGGCTAATTTTTTGTATATTTGGTAGATACAGAGTTTTGCCATGTTGCCCAGGCTGGTCTCAAACTCCTGCGCTCAACTGATCCTCCCACCTCGGCCTCCCAAAGTGCTGGGATTACAGGCATGAGCCACTGCACTGGCCTCCACTTGTTTTTGTCCTTTTCTGATCCCTCCCTCTACTGAGGGGGCTCTGTATTTTGCACCTTGAAGCAGTCTTTTCTCTAGGAAGCCTTTCCCCTACACCTTGACTTTATACCATACCCTGGTTAACACTGGCTAGCAACGGTCTTGAACAGATGCATTCTGTCCCTGCCGGAAGTGTGCACTCTCTCTCCGATGAGGAGTACTATTGGAGAGCGCCCTCAGAGTCTTCCACACATTTAGGAAACATACAATGTTGCTGTGTGATAAAACCACATAGGCATTTCCACGGAAGGAGGACACTGAGGCAGGGAACAACTGTTACCGTGCAGCCCTCGTTTTTGTTGACTCTTTCAATCTCTTCCATATGTCTTTTGGCTTGCTGTGCTTACCACAGCCCCAATGGATTTAACCTGCTTTCCTCCCCAATGCGGAGCTCTTCAACAGGACATTAGGATGAGGAAAGAGAACCAGAAGGATCATTACCTGCAGAGGTCTGGGTCCTGTGATGCGTTGTGGAGGTGGAAGAGGTGGAGGAGGTGGCGGTGGGGGGATCGCTGGGGTGATTCGGGGAGCTCCTGCTGGGAATGGGTCCTGCTGAAGCCCAGGGATGCCCATGGATGAAGGTGAAGAGCCCAGGAGGGTAAGTGCAACATAGGCACCAGCTAGAGGGAGAGAGAGACTTGAGAGACAGTCCAGGTACGGTGGTGGGGGGATGCGGGGGACTGTTCTCCCTTGTCCTGTCATTAAGCTTATAATTCTGTAGATTAAGTTCTCCTCACTTTTAATGTCCCACCTGTTCTTTAATCCCTGCCTTCATGCCCTGCATGGACCCAAGTACCACTTCCTGCCCTTCCTTCATGCAGAGACCTCAACTAGAGCTCCACTCATAAATACCTGGGAACGCACCCCACGGGCCGCCTCAGCAGCCCCTTGTTTCCCCCTTTATCTCACTAAAGTAAGTAGCCAGTGTCACACTCGGAGCGTACTGCCCACATGGCACAGACCAGGCACTCAGACTCTAGCCCTCTGCCCTCCCCAAACTTCCCACATTCTTAAATTCTTTCTTCAACATTTGTTGCTTCTATTTGAATATTTGTATAGACTCAAATTGTTGAGCCTTCCTGGCTACAAACAGATTATTGTTGCTTTTCCCTGCCAAATAGAAAACAAATGAGTATGAATGTCCATGAATGGGGGAGGGAATTGAAAGGTATTTGAGGAAGACCTGGTCCCAGTAGGATGTGGTCTGAACAGGAGTGGCAAAGATGGGTGTGGGTAAACATAAGATGTCTCATGACAGCCTAGTAGTGTCTCCACTTGAAATAATAGGGAATTGTGGCCATTTAAATGGATCACTCCATGTAAGATTAAAGATGCAACTTCAGCTGCCTCACACATCTACTAAGGAAACCTCCTGGGATGGCAGGCCTGCCCTTTCCCCGCTCTTGGCCCATCTGCTCCCCTACTTTAGCTGTCCCCTCTCTCCAACTTACATTTGATCAGCTTTACCACTTCCAGGTGTGAGCTATTGGTCACCATGGTGCCGTTGACCTGTTGGAGGGACAAACAATTTTGAGTAATGGTGATGAACAGCTAGGGTATCCTTCCGTAAGTTCAAAACGCCACTTCTTCAGGAAGCCATTTTCCAATGCTCTTAGCCTACTCCGCTCACTTGTTTACTCAAGTCACACTATGAATTTGTTCTGTTCATAGCTGCTATTTGTTCTGTCTCTCCAGCTAGCCTATGAGGTTTCAGGGACAAGGCCTGTGTCTTCATTCCTTAATTTGTTCATTCATTCACTTATTTTTGGGACACACGTTTCCAACCATTTGTCTCACACACATGCGAATGTCCACTGCCCCAGCGTGCTTCCTCCTTACAGAGGACTAACAAGTCTCTGCACCTAGGATTTCCTTAATGCTTCCCCACTATGTTGCCCAGGCTGGTTTTGAACACCATTCTGTCGAAGAAAGGCCTGAATAACCAGGGCAGGTTATAGTAGTTCAGAATGGGCAAGGACCCCAGGTTGGCATTATATGGAAGAAAGAATATCAACCTGAGAATCAAAGTCTTGGGTCCTCCCACGAGTTACTACCCCTCCCTCTTAGTCTTATTTTGGTCAGTTATGAAATGAGAATAATAAAACTTGTTCTGAAAGCTTGGTTGCTTTAGAGTCGAGAAGGGCCTAAACACGAAGCACAGCTATCTTCCTCCTTGCTCTCTCTCTCATGCTGTACCCCTGTGCTCCCTCGCATGGACCACCCCTAACTCAGTGGCTGCCTGGCAGTTGGTATCAAGATGAAAGTGTGCAGGATGGGGCAAGGCCAGGAGTGCCCTGCACATCTGCCTCCACAGCTGGGAGCGGGAGTGCATGCTGGGGTCACTCACTTTGATGATCCGGTCGCCCTCCTTCACACCGGCCTTCATGGCTGCGCCTCCTGAAAGGAGAAGGCCTGGTCAGCAGAGCCCAACAACCTCTCCCAGAGGTCACTGAGGCGACACCAAGGTCCCTGTCAGATCACCTCTCCTCTGAAATTTCCTCCTATTTCTCTGTGTTAAGTACCTCAAATGCTGGCTGCACTTCCTATTCCACTTTAGAGACACAACTACTTTTAAACTAGAGTGAACTATATAAGGTCCCATCTCCTGCTCTTCCTTCCACCTAGATAAGATGCTAGACTTCTGATAGCCAGGCCAAGGCAGGAGGCAGGCAGGACCAGGCTCTGGGAAGAGCATGTGTGCTTCATTCTAATGTATCTGGATATGTTCCAAGGTCAAATACGAGTTATATTTTACTATCCAGGGGGAAAAATGAGTTTACTGTATGAAACATAATTGTTAAAATAATTATTAAGAGAAATATGGAGAAAAGGCTTAAAACAAGAGTTTCCTAAGTCCTGAGAGGTTTTGTAAAATATTCTGGGGGTTCACATCATTAAAGATGATAATAACTTTTCTTTTAAAAAAACCTTTCTAAAGCCATCTACAGCTTCTCCCTTCCTTTTTTTTTTTTTTTAATAGACAGAGTCTTGCCCTGTAGCCCAAGCTGGAGTGCAGAAGCATGATCTCAGCTCACTGCAGACTTGGTCTTCTCAAGCGATCCTCCCAACTCAACCTTTCAAGTAGCTATGGGACTACAGGTGTGTGCCACCATGCCTGGTTAATTAATTAAAAAAAATTTTTTTTTGTAGAGATGAGTTCTCACTATGTTGCCCAGGCTGGTCTTGAACTCCTGTGCTCAAGTGATCCTCCTGCCTTGGCTTCCCAAAATGCTGGAATTGTAGGCATGAGCCTCCATACTCAGCCCAGCTTCTCCCTTTAAAATAAACCAAATTAAGGGCTTCTGATGGTGACTGACTGAGGTGCTCAAAAGATCATGCTCTTCACTTTTTCGACTTGTCAT